ACATCGTTAATCAAGTACGATCGAGACTAAAATGAAGAGAGGAAGTGAAATTGTGCCAAAGGCAGACCGACACGATTCGAAAGGATTGTAACACTGAAATTTGGACCGCTGTCTTTGCGATGTTTCATGCCTCGTTTGCTCTTGTCAACTTTACGCGATCGTGTTTAAAAGCGTCTTGTACTCGCACCTGTCATCGTAGAACGCACGCGTTAAAACGCATGAGCACCGTGTGATTCATATGTACAATCATTACAATTGCAGTTTGTGAAGTCGCTCATCGTGATCGCGTGCTAGATGAAAGAAAGGTCACGATATTTCTGAGAGAAATTCATATATATTTTTTCCTTTTAATTTTAGTACGCGATTGGTGAAAATTAAAAGAGCTTTGTTCTTCGTTTCGACAACTTGTTATATTTAATTGAAGTATTTTTTTAAATATCGATAGATTTCTTTGAAATACGCATTTTTTTGGGCAAAATTCATGCTGTGGTCCTTGAGCTTAACGCGCCGCGTTGACCGTATTTTCCCACAATTTTCCCCGACGGACGTGTTTGACCGCAACCTCCGGTTTACAATTAAACAACACGTTTACTGCAAAAACGATCACCGGTGATTCGTTTCGGGCAAAGAGATTGCGTGGGGTTTGCAATCTTTGGCCGATGGCCGCGGCGTAATAGTGCTTCGGTTACATCGCCACGATGAAAAAAAAAAAACGCGCATTTTTTTTTACACTCCTCATTCAAAATCGCCGTCGGCGCGATTCATAAAATAAAACTGGCACTGCATGCAAGAGTGTCCGATTGGCTTGTCGAACCACGCCACCGTGGCATTAAAAGGTGGCATAAACGCGAGCTTCCAAGCGGACGCGTTAACTCTCTTTGCGCTCATTTTAACCGCCATACGACACGTCGTAATTTTACCGAGAGGCGCCACTTTCACGCGTGCATTAATATCTCGATAGTGTATGTAAATATTTTTTAACGAAGAATTTATTTCGCTTTGATCTATCGGCATGCACCACGCGATTTTGTTCTGCTTGTTAAACGCGCACAAACGCTATCCGGACAGCTGGATTTCAACCACTGATCGCATAATTTGTTAGTTAACATTGGCATTTGTTTCAAGAAAGATCAATAAAATTGATAAACGCAAATGACAAAAGATTAAAGAAACGAATAAAAAAATTCTTCTTTGTAAAAAAAAAAGGAAAAAGCCAATATTACTTATGTTGACGACCTAAACGTGAATTCGGGTCGAGTACGCAGAATATATAGCTCGAGTATGCATAAGTAAAAGCAATTGCAATACGCCGGTTCGATTCTGACCTTTTCTTTCTCCTGTCGCACGTCGCGATCGATGCGGTCCACATGTATACATGCGTATATATTGACATACACGCTCCCTTTCTCTCTCTCTCTCTCTCTCTCTCTCTCTCTCTCTCTCTCTCTCTCTCTCTCGTTTTCATATATGCTAGTGCCAGCAAAATATAATTCGCACACGCCCAATCCCCTGTGCGTCGCGCGCGAAAATGACCAAAGAGAGAAAAACGAAATTTCCCGAATAGCTCTGCACTCGCAGAGATGATTGTTGTGGTATGTGAACTCGACTGGGAAAAAATGTCTCCTTTCATTACGAATCGCATTCCCATACTTTTCAGACATGGTCGGACGAACTGATTTATGTATTTATAATTGTGAGGAAAAAAGAGAAAAATGTTTTCAAAATAATCGAAGATATTGAAAAAAAGAATTTCTCTACTCCCTCCCACCCTCTCTCTCTCTCTCTCTCTCTCTCTCTCTCTCTCTCTCTCTCTCTTCTCTCTACTCTTTCAATAGAATATACATTATATTATATTTTTTAACATGACAGATTTGAAAATAATTTTATTTTCCATCAAAATAACTATACAGTTACAAAATAATTATATAGAATGTTCAAACTGATTACTAGAATGTTAAAAATTTTTGCAATATTATCATAAACGCTAGAGCATTTTACATAATTATTTTAACGGTCCAAAAAAAATTACTTTAAGATCTATATACCTAGCTAAATTTTTAGATATTTTCATAAAATCAGCCTTTCCATGGAAAGATGCATAGAAAAAGAATCTATATATGCGTTTTTCTCGTAGAACTTGCAATTTATATGAAATTTAAAGCTGACGGGAGATATTAAAAGATGTCGAAAAATGATAGCTCATAAGAATCTTATTCGGATATCTACTTTAGTTGGTATGACGTAATAATCTACAACAAATTATAAATCGAAAAAGTAATGAAAATAAAAACTTAAAAAGTCATGCAAAATATCCGTCGTTGAGAATCTACTCCGAAAGTTCATCGAACAAGAGCTAAACATGCAGTGAAGTTTTTCGTGTTGGCACGCGTACAATCTTGAGAGACGCTGACAATCTATCATATCGTTTGCCGCTACTCTTATGCGATGCTAACGACAGAAACCGAAGAATTTATTCGGACCACTTATCGAGACCTCCCAGGGAAGAAGACCGGTTGTCCATCTGCGAGTCGAAGATTAATGAACGCAGTACTAGAAGCGGAGGCTCATTAGAACACATTAACCTCAGGCGTTTCCTTTTTTTTCTTGCATTATTCAATCTTAATGACATATTGACCATTACTCTGAAGTATCAAACCTTTAAAAAGGAATATATGGCCATCACTCCCTGTTGTAAATCGCGCATTATTGATAAAGAATAATTTTCGACGTGTGTGTGTGTGTGTGTGTGTGTGTGTGTGTGTGTGTGTGTGTGTGTGTGTGTGTGTAGTACTTATGGAATACGCATGCAAATAGCGACAATAAAATGTAAAGATTTGTATTTGTATTCAAAATCATTACAAGATTCTATATTTCTGAGTCTATTGTAATATCACAGAATATATTTAGTTCATTGTGAGAAAATATTTTTTTTTATATTATTCTTATTGTCAACTTTTAAAGTTAATTTTAATTAAATACTTGATATTAAGTTATTCTTTTCAATTTTCTTTTTAATCACTCTATAAACATATCGATTGATAATATTCCTGGATATATATATAATGTATTATATACATATATGTATACAGAGTGTATCATTTTAATTGACGCATTAAAATATCTCTTGAACAGTGCATTTTAAAGAAAAGTTAGAAAGTTATTATATTATTATAAGTATTGTTTTAGAAAGTTATACGATTTGGAAGGGGACATAAGATGATGCTACTGGTTTGATCTTGGAAAGTTGTTTGAAGGTCACGTATAAAGATCATCAATTTCTTAAATGGAATCCCATATATTTTATTGTATATTCTTGTAGCTTATTTCGAGAGTTTTCCAAAATACTATAATTAAATTCATTTTCATAAAGTACTTTCGAGTTATAAGGCTTGCAAGTTACAGCACCGCCTACATTAAATATTATATCCAAGATGTCCGACCGATGTGACAGCTAAAACCTCTTGAATGTTGTTTAGAATCATGATCTGGATAATATTTGTCAAAATCAAGGCTATTGGAGATTGTTCCTCTTATTTTCATTTTTGCACTAAAAATTACATTTCTATACGTAAAGAAATTGTACTCTAAGAAATTGATAACGATTTTCAAACAACTTTCCAAAATCAAATCAGTACCATCATCTTATGTCCCCCTCCAAATCATATAACTTTTATCTAAAACATTTTTCTTTAAAATGCATTGTTGAAGAGATATTTTGATGCGTTAATTAAAATGATACACCCTGTATATATATATGTATTATATATATATATATAAAATCGTATTTTTTTTCAAACAGCAAGAATAAACTTACGACGCACGATAGCAATACAAATACAGTTTTCTTTCGCAAGTAGCCTCGATTAATTTTCAACGATTCAAAATCGACTGACACGAATAAAATGACATGTGCGCGAACAACAATGCGTGTTCCATGGATCATATCTTATCGCCATTATCATGGATCTCACAGAAGAGGTAGGTAGGTTTATCTGCCGGAGGGAAAAAAATATGGGCCAGATAATTTTGTAGTATAACAAAAAGACGCACGAACAGAAATTCGAAGAAAAAAATTTGCTATATGTTTCGAATAAAAACATTTTCCACGTCAATATATACTTGCCATTGATCCTATGTCTCTACTGAAAGCAGAACAATTATGAAGTCTAATCAAAGCTATGCGCTTGTTTCTATTACTTTCATTAGTTAATCTCTCGCGAATTATACATTTTTTGTAAATAATTTCAATGAAATTATGAATTTGAATCTTAGAATCTTTCTCGATATACTTCTCATATATAAACATAACAGAACAGTTGGCTTTAAAGTAATATAAGTTTTTCTGCAACACAAATGAAAATTACGAACGATTTAGCAAACACGATTAAACAAAACGACGTGCAATAACCAAAATCAAAAACAACATCTCGAATTGCAATAAATAGCGCATTTGATTAAGCATACCGTAAATTTTGTTGCGCTGAATATTTCACGCATATTTCAAAGGAGTATTTATTTTCCAGGTTTTACAAAAAAAAAAAAAAAACATACATCCCCTTTGTTCATGTGATAATCGGAAAATTGACAAAACCATCATGTAGTCTATTAAATATCAAGAATTTTAGGTTCTGTATGTCGCGAGTGACAAGATTTTTAATTTAATCAAGAACGATATCTATATATTTTACAATTAAACAATCGACCTTAGTATATGGTATCCAATTCCTCGTTCAACTTTTTATTCCGTTTTTTTACCGAGACTGATTTTTATGGAACTGATTCTACACGCTTGTGGGTAAATTATATCGTCAGTAATTTATCGAATCTATTGCGCGTTTAACATAGAATCGCGAAGAACACATTTATGGATGAATCGTGCAAAGAATCGACGCGACAAAGAGTGAGTAGACTCGCTAGATTCTCGAATATCACAAATACGCAATCATACAATACAAATGGAAACCGTGAAAAAAGAGAAATAAATTGGAAAGTGTACTCACCTCCGTGCGCTGCGATAACCTCTTGTTCAACTCGTGGAGTCTGTAGTCCGGTTGATTGTATCCATAGGCTGGAGTATGCCTCCTGGGGACAGGCAACGATCTGTCAGATCAAACCGATCGCTCATGTTAGGCGTGCTGTGTCTAGCGTGTTATTTTCGTGTGTGTACGTCGCGAATGTTTCATGCATGCATTACGCGACCTCCCCTCCCATCGCGTCGCGTTGTGTCGCGTTACTACATTGTGCGCCCGAATTTTCGTAAGGCGCCCCGAGGGGTGCGACTACCGGTTGGTCCTCTCTCCGAACGTGTGCACGCCGCAAAACGCGCTCGGATGTGACACAGATTCGCGAAATGTAGTTTACGACTTTTACCACGACCACGCCATTCTCGGTCCCTTTAATGCATCGCGTTACGGAAGCGGAGGTTTGAAATAGCACAATCTCGAAGGGTTTGATGCAATGCCGGTTTTTAATCGACTTTCTCAAAAAATTGTTCCATATTTATTCGCTTAGTGTTATCAAAGTCAATTTTCCGGCATAAGAATGTTGTTAGATTATAATAATAATAATAATTATTATTATTATATCGAAAGATATGAAAATACAGCCAAATGTGAGCAACCAACATAAGGACTTGGTGTGATTTAAATTTAATATATTCACACGAAGATCTTATGTTGACTGACATTTGGCTGTTTTTTCATGTCTTTCAACATGATTTATTCTTTGGAGCTTGATATTATTACTTTTATTGAATTTTATAAATAATTATAGTATTAATACATTATCGTATTAAAATAATTATTAATTTGCGTAAATAATAGTAATTTTCGTAAGTTCCGATTTCAACATTTTCGATATGTAACATATTCGAAAATTCCAAAGACTCAGATTTGTCTTAGTAGAAACACTGCTAAAAAGTATTTCTCAAGCATATGTACGTACAACGCTTTTTCATCGAGGGAGTTTAGACAATTCTCTATTGTCCAATTTTTACCAATGTAGAAGTTATACTTAATTTCGGTTTAATTTACTTTAAGAAAAGATAAAAGAATGTAAAACTCATATTAAAACCCTCTAAGCTGAGAAAAATTTCCGATTAAGAATGAACGAACCAGAAAATTCTGGTCGATCAGAATTTAAATTCTCAACTAGAATTATAATAATAGATTCAATCAGAAAATTCTGCTTTTTATCCATTTTTAACCAGAATTCCAATTAATGCAACCAGACTTTTTCGAGTGTACGTATTAGTAGAAACGGACATAAGGCAGAGAAATGCGATTTAAAGTTTCGGATACTAAAACCTTATATATAAAATTACCTATGAATAAAGGCCTTTAAAAGGCCCAATTTCTTATTAGCGCGTCTTATTCTTAATAGCGCGTATATGATCGCGCTGAAAAAACATATATCGACGAAAGTTTAGCCGTTCAGCTGTTTGGTAAAATAACGCTATATCAAATCAATAATGATGCGAAGGTCATTGTATTTATTCTGTCAGTGCAATTGTTGGCGATCATCCAGACACCGATAATTTAATGTCACGAATCAATTATAACATTATCAAACATATTACACGATATATCCAGCAATTTTCACGAATTAGCCAATACAACGACAAACTGATTGCAATAATTTTGTAATGACAAACATAAACGTAAATTTATTCAGTATTTTTTGTCTCAGTTGAGATCGTTATATTTATCGCTTCATTATAAAGATCTGTTAATTTATTTAATTAAACGATTTATCTTTCTCTCTCTCTCTCTCTCTCTCTCTCTCTCTCTCTCTCTCTCTCTCTCTCTCTCGGTTAATTTTAAGATTAAAGGTTTTTAAAATGTTTATCTCATATCACAAAATAAATCAGACGCAGTGTTTTTTATTATCTTTCTTTTTCATCTGTATTTTTGAAACAAGAGACAATACTGTTAGATGCCTTAATCGATGCAAATCATCGAGGATCGGCTCCCGGTCATTCGTAGAGTAACAGTTGGTTAACCGGAGGATAATTAACGTCGCGTTGATAATATTTAGTGCTCGGAATGCTCGGGCCGGTGTGTACTGCGCGCATATTCGCGCCCCCGAGGCCGGACGAGCGATCATTAAGAAGCGAGCGCGGTGTGGTGATTAATAACAAGAGTACGCAGAATATTCCGGCAACACAGAGAGTCCGAACGCGCTGCACTTCCGGTAACGAATTTCGGGATTACGTTCGACCCACAATCGATACTACATTTAGCACATTACGCGTTCACACGCGACATTTCGCGTGACGCGCGGATTTCGCAACGTAACGTATTTCCAATGGAAAAAAAGAGGAAATAAAGAGCGAACGTCTTGTCGAAATAAAAATTATAAATACTAGATGTCTATCGAATACAAGATTATTATGAGAGATCGAGAAATCTCCTGATGCTTAGGGCGATCTTATTTTAAGACTGTTTTAAGTAATGCTTGAGATGCTAATGCAACCCTCTGATTAGCTTATGATATTTTAATCCTTACCGTGTATACATTTTTTAGTATCCATTAAGTGTATATGGGGGTCGTTCATGTCCGGCTTAGTTTTTTAAATAAATTAAGTGATTCAAAAAATTCATATAGTTTCCTTAACTGTTCTAAATGAAAGATTTATACATAATTTAACATAATAAATCTATTTATTTTTTTAAATATTTTATTTTTACAAAAATGTAAATACAAATTAGTATAGTAGTGGTACGTCTACAAATTTGTAACTTTTGATAAAATTTAATAACTAAAAAAGGAAAAATATAGTTCAAAGTTCATATTTTAATAAAAAAAAAAATATATGTAAAAAAATAAATTTTTTTAATTCAAATGGTTAAGTTCGGGACATAAAATCTTATAGTTTCGAAACTTATAAAAATAAGCATTCCTATGAAAAATTGAATTTAACTTTAAAAAATTCATTTTTTATTCAAATCTATAATCCCATACACTTTCAAATAAAAAAACACAAATAAAAAAATACATACGGGACATTGTAAGAGAACAAAGAAATTGTAACATCTCTTCTGCAGAGTGATTTGCCATTTTTTGTTCTAAGATAACACTGAATAAAAATTTTGTTAAATATATGTATTTTACTTATAAAAGTAATCAAGAAATACGAAAAGTAAGCATTCTTATTTGTACAACAAGTATGTGCTGAATGTATACGGGAGTCATTTTGTGTCCGCGCTCGATTTTGAATATCAGCTGTACAGCAAAAACACTGCTGGGCTTTCACGGGCACCTTTTTCTATCCCACAAGTTCTTTTTGAGAATAGAAGTACAGTACTCAGAAATGCACTCACTTGTTTTCAAAATATTCATAATTTTAAAAATCACCTGGACACAAATGATCTCCATACACGGTGAAGGTTAAGACAGTATCTCGAATATAAGAAAATATAAGAATCAACTATAAATGTCGATTTTAGAGCTCTAGATTTACAAAAGTGCATTTCTTTTATCTAGAGAATGCCAACAATCGCGTTTTCCTATTGATTACTGCTTCTTTTATTTCGATTCCATTTTTTACCCAATTGTTTATCTATTATCTCATTAAAAAAAAGCGCTTAGTAATTCTTTAGTATATAGTTATTAAGTCAATAGTTTATTATTAATAGTTTATTAAGTCAATAGTTAATTAAGTCAATATAATAGTTGTTTACATACTTTTGTAAATCTAGAGCCCTCTACTTGCACCTCTGACGGTGCAAGTTGGAAGAAATCGGACTTTCCCCCGAACTCATGACATCGACCTTCACGTGCCATGATTTCTTCCGTGTGTTGGTAACCTTGTAAATCGCTATGCTAATTAGAACGCACTTAGTTGCAGTGAGAGACAAAGATAAACAGAGTAGACATAAAACGTTGCGATAATGCGAGAATGATAATTGCGCGGATTGCTAATGTACATGCGTCTTAGAAACTGAGAGACAGACTTGTTCCTCGACTGACATTGCAAAAGTATATATTATTGTTTTATTCGATTGTTAAATCTACCGCGATTGTTAAATCTATCTAAAGAATTTCTGGGATTTTCCACCGGATTTGTGATGTCATCACGATATCACAAATCAGTGCTAAACATCCGGTGTACTACAAATGATGATGCGAGATAATTTTTTTTACCGGTCGTTGAGCTAGATAGAGTTAATTTTTAAATAAATAAAATATTTATATCTTCATCTGTTCACTGAAAAAGGCTAAAAAATGAGCCGAAACATGTAAGGAATAGCATACAATATTCAATGTATTAAATTAATTTGTTGAGTAATAATTGTTTATTGCGCACAATTACCGTGCTTGATTCTTATGTCCTCTTTTTTTTCGGTTTTAAATAAAATATTGCAATAAATATTGGATTTCAACAAATCAGAATCTCGATAGACAATGGCCTTCGGCGAATGAACGAGAGATAAGACGCTTCCTTTAAATCTTTGTTCGACGTGATCGATAAGATAATTTACTTGAACACATTCCTCGAGATCTATATTTTTCGCGAGAAAGCTTTAAAAATACTGCATAAATACATAAAGGTCTAATTTTGCGATAAATAATAAATAAATATATGGATTGATAGATATGCAAATTTTACTTATATAAAAGTAAAATCAATTGAATAAATTGAGATGTTTATCGATAATTGATTGGAAATAAATCTAGCAGATATCAATAATAATAATAGAATGAATAATTATAAATGGCTAACAGATCAGATCGAGAAGAAGTTCGGAATGATTTTTTTTCTTCATGTATGAGAAAATATACTTCGTCCAAAGATCGATCGCGTCGGGAAAGAACTTGGACTTTCTCGTCTCTGGAGAATCGATGCCACGGGACACCCCGGCGACACGTCACTGTCGCACACGCGCATGTGTGTGTGTGTGTGTGTGTGTGTGTGTGTGTGTGTGTATGTGTGCGGAGCAGATTTGCCAGGGGTGAGTCGAGATCTCAAGGGTAGCAGGGGTAACCCACTGTCGTGTACGGTTTATTGGGGAATGACGGGACGCGTGGACAAATCTTTCGTCCCGTTTCGAGCTGCATCGCTCGATTAAAAACGATTGCTCGACATGATATATTACTAA